GGTGGGGTTTGGGGAGGTGCGGGGGGGATTGTGTACCAATGAGGGAGTTTTTCTTTTGGTCACTCTTTTACTCGCTAGTTTTCATACTCATCATCCATAGATGAAGATAGTATGGATGACCTTATAAGGTTATGGCCGGATAATTGAGATGATAGGTGGAAGACACTGAGCAGTATTGAGATAACAGATGGAAATTACTGGGAAGAAGGCCTAACACACACTAAGCTACACTGACCCCCTCTTTGTCAAAGGGGAGCAGACCATGTTAGTTCCTTGGGGTCATTCAGATGTAAAATAACAGTGATGACACATAAAATTTGTGTTCGGTGGTTATGTGTGTCAAGTCGGTCTCCAGAGCTCATTGACACAATTCTCATCACTAGTAATTCTACAGGTAAGAAAACTAAGGTTCTAAAAGATTAGACTCCATGCCCAAAATCCTCCTGATGGGAAGTATAGACCTGGGATTGGAATCTAGGTTTCATTTGGCTGCAAAGTCTCCAGTTTTAACACTAGCCTTTTTAGCCACATCAAGGTGGCTAATTAATATTGAAAAGGAAAGGAGTAAAAAAGAGGAGGCAGCTTGGGGGTTAACACACCCATGGAGCCCCCTGCTCCGATTTGTGCTATCCCAGCTGAGACACATTGTTTTCATCGTGTAAGGAAGATCTCAGTTCATCTTACTTACTGAACTTGTGTTTTCTCCATAGTTTGTGGGAAAATCGAGAATAACACTACTCCGAAGGCTCAGGGCACACGCTGGCCATGGCAGGCAGCCATCTACAGGAGGACCAGTGGGGGTCATGGGGACAGCCTGCACAAGGGCGCGTGGTTCCTGGTATGCAGCGGCGCCCTGGTGAATGAGCGCACTGTAGTGGTTGCAGCCCACTGTGTCAGTGACCTGGGCAAGGTCACCGTGATCAAGACAGCAGACCTCAAAGTCGTCTTGGGGAAATTCTACAGGGATGATGACCGGGATGAGAAAACCATCCAGAACTTGCGGGTGAGAGAGCTGCCCCTGGGTAACCATATGTAATTCAACAAAGTCCAAGTTGTTGTTGTTATGTGCTGTCAAGTCACCTGCAACTCATAGCGACCTTATATACAACAGCCTTAAAACCTGCTCTATCCTGTGCCAATCTTATTGTCTCCAACACAGCTATCTTCATTACCCTAGTCACTGCATCAATCCATCTCATCAAGGGTCTTCCTCTCCTGCACTGTCCCTCCACCCTCCCAAGCATTATGTCCCTCTCCAAGGACTGGTCCCTCCTTGCAATATGTCCAAACCATGTCAGACAAAGCTTCAGAATCCTTGCCTCCAAGAAGCAGCCCGGTTTAACCCTCTCCCAGATGAACCCGTTCGTTTTCCTAACAGTCCATGGTACACTCCATCACCATAGCTTAAAGGCATCAATTCTCCTTCTATCCTCCCTAGTCATTGCCCAGCTCTCTGGTGCATAGAAAGTGATTGCAAAGACCATGGCCTGTATCAGGCACACCTTAGTCTCCAGACTGACATCGTTGCTCTTCAGTACTTTGGAGAGGTCCACCAAGAGATAATACCTCTGCCACCTTTCACCTCAGCATGGTGGCACCTAGCACATAGCTGCTGCTGTTGTTGCATATCACTGAGTCAGAATCGGCCCATGGCTGATCCTCCCATGGGGATGGTAAATCACACAGGAAGAGATTGCCCATCTTTTCCCCCAGAGCAGTTGGTGGGTTAGAACTGCATCCCCTTGCATCGGCAGCATAATTGCTTACCACTAAGCCATCGGTGCTGCCTCAGCAAGTAGTGGGGACTCATAGTTTATGTTGCCAGATACCAGGGAAGGAACATTTAGGAGCACCACGGAATCTTTCTTCTTCAATGGTTTTAGAATAGGATAGAGACAAAGATACATCATGATCATCAAACATCCATCCCATTTTCACTTGGGGTACTAGTCTAGGCTTTAAGGATATAGTTTTTAGCCAAGCTGCCCAAATCATTTAAATACTCTTTCCTCCTTTTTTTTCTATCTCCTATCCTCCCCTCCCTCTTTCCCTCCTTTCCTTTCTTTCTCCCCCTCATTTCCTCCCTAACTCCTCCATCCAACCCTCTATTCCTTCCTCCCCCATCCCTCAATCACCCCTCCATCTACCCACATGTCTGTCTGCCCACTCATTTATTGTTGAAGTCCCATCATCACAGTGTGATTCCTGTATTCATTGGGAAGTTGCATAAAGAAAAAAAATAGGTTTAGTCTTCAAGTGCCTACATTCGAATGACATGGACCAGTATATGGTGATCTGTGCAGCATGGGAGATTCCCTAAGGAAATTCATCCAAATGCAGTGGGAGTAATTGATTACACACATACATACATACACACATACACACATACATACATACATACATACATACATACATACATACGTACGTACAGTGAATTATAGATATTAGCTCCTTGAAGCCTCCAAAGAGAATGATCAGCAGGGACTGGGACAATCAGGGCAGCCTTTGTGGAAGTCTCATGGAGCATTCAGGGTGCAGCTCCATCTTCCTGACTGAAGTGGTTACAGTAGAACAGAGATTGCAAATGGATTGCTTTTGGGGTGAGTGATCTGATGGTCCCATCATAATCTTTTAAATTAGCTACCTGCTAATACTTAAAAATCAGGAAGATTCAGATGAAAGCTGGAGCTAGAGATCCTCTGGCACAATTAGAATGCTGTCCCACTTTTGCGCGGCCCATTGCCCACTTTAGACGGGTGTGTGTTCTCCTGTTCTGCAGCCCCGCCCCGCCCCGCCCCATCCACTCCACTTAGTCAACATCACCTGCCACGTCTTGGTGGATATTGAAGCTTACAATTTTGAAATCTGGTAATTGCTTTGCAAATGCCTTGAGCAAAGCATTTCCAAATAATTGCAGCTTCTTGTAGACATTTTCTCTTAAAATTTCACCTCAGGGCTGCCCTTTTCTTGTCCACTGTAGAGCTGACTGCTGTCTGTTCTTTGTACTTACAGATAGCTGCTGTCATTTTGCATCCCAACTATGATCCCATCCTGCTTGACTCTGACATGGCCATTTTGAAACTCCTAGACAAGGCTCGTATCAGCACCAGAGTGCAACCCATCTGCCTAGCATCTGCACGTGACCTCAGCACTGCCTTCCAAGAGTCCCACATCACTGTGGCTGGCTGGAATGTCCTGGCTGATGTGAACACCCCGGGATTCAAGAATGATACCCTGCGCTCGGGGGTGGTCAGGGTCGTGGACTCGTTGCTGTGTGAGGAACAGCATGAAGACCATGGCATCCCAGTGAGCGTCACGGATAACATGTTCTGTGCCAGTCAGTACTCCAGTGCCCCCTCTAATATCTGCCTGGCAGAGACAGGGGGCATTGCAGCTGTGTCCTTCCCAGGACGGGCATCACCTGAGCCACGCTGGCACCTGGTGGGGCTGGTCAGTTGGAGCTACGATAAAACATGCAGCCACAGCCTCTCCACTGCTTTCACCAAGGTGCTACCTTTTAAAGACTGGATTGAGAGAAACATGAAGTGAGCATTTGAGCCTTGGTCTGGTGAAAGACATCCAGCGAACTCATGGGCTCCAGCCATGTGTTGCCTGAGGCAGTGTGGACATGAGGTGTATTAATGCTCATGAATTTGGCTAAGCTACAGCTTCCAATTTCAGGGACAAAACTCAATGAAGGTCAAGTGCAGATTGGCATCTAATTGCTTGGACAGGGCTTGCAAATAAGACAATTTGAAATCGAAGAAGACCTCTCCCTCCTACTGACCAAGGGGCCTTGGCCACCCTCTGGTGGCTTCAATATCTTGGTCAGCTCTGGTTGAGAAAAGGTTGATGGGAGGACTGGGCTTCCGAAGCCACTTGTAAGACTTCAGCAAATCAAGTTCCAAGAGACCCTTGCCGGACTGCAGAGCTTGGAGGAGGTGCATGCTTTCATGTACATTGCCATGGTTCAGTACAATCCTTTCCCTTCCCCAATCAGCTGTACATATTTTAATAAACAAGGGTTTCCTTCTGACCTACAAGACAAATGTGCTACAGCTCTGACTCCTGTATCCTGTTCTCTGTGTGACAAATAATAATTATAATTATTGGAGCCATGAATTACAATTCTCAAAGCATCCATGATCCTCTTTCCAGTGTCAAGCTTGGAGCTCGGCGGGCAATGAACAGAGGGAGGAGGGCCACGGTGTGAGCAGCTAGGGCTGGTGAAGAGGCGAGAACCAGGGATGAGAACATTTTTCATCTGCCCTCTTGTTCTCATGCTCAAGATACAGCATAAAACTCCTACTTTGAACTTGTACACATTTTTCATATATTTTTATAGCAGCTGAATTAGAACCAATTTTAACTCACACCAGATTTCAATATGCCCAGAAACTGTAGCCTTGTTTTTACCTATAACTGATGTGATTTTCCTCTTAAGCTCCACCCACAGATACCGTTGAATATTGGAAAGAAACAAATGAATTCGGTTCAAACACTTTCCGTGATCTTTCCAGGGATACTTATTCTTTTGGTTGATTCACTATTTTATCCTTTCTTCCTCCTCTCGCCTCACCAGTTTCCTCCTTCCAAGCTGATCTCTTAGAGACTTATATGGCTACAGATAATGGGATGGACTGGAGACATGCATGTGCTCACTGATCCTTAGAGATGTGTGGTGGGTCTTTGCCATTCCTGGGTGTTCTGAAGACAGTTGGTAGAGTGGTCTGTAATATGTATAACTTATGCTTTGTTCTCTCTGATCTGTGGGGAGATTCCTAGCCCGCGCTGCTCACTTAGCTGCTTCTCAGCACTTGTTGGTGTGACGGTGTTCTGAGGTCTGCCCGTGACTCCGGTTTGAGTCACTCAATCCCATCGCCACAATGGCGGCCTTCTCCGGCAGCTCCCCTAGAATCCTCTCTTCAGGGCTTGTGGGAACCTCTTGGTCTTTTGTCCACACCACATGAGGGCTGAGAGCCTAGAGCTGTTACACTGTGGGAGGTATTCTCCTGTAATCTTAAAAGCATGAACTTTACTTCTATCCAAGAGATCTTCTACCTCAAGGACCTCAGACCGCAGATGGACAATGATCACAAATTTGCTCCCAACCAAGACTCCTGACTGTCCTATAATCCCATGGGGCCAGAAGGAAATTTTCTTTTTGTCTTGACTGGGACTTTCCATAAGTCATATTCATGTCTTCTCCCCTTTCCTATCTTCATGGCTTAATCTGAAAGCCATATTGTCTGTTACTGGCTGTCAAATTACACAGACCATTACAGCTTAATGAGTAAGCTTGGTTGTTTTGGTTTTTTTTTTTAAATTTTATTTCATTATTTCATTGGTTCACAGTGATAATGCAGTTAAGATATCTGGGGCTTCAGTCGTCTGAAGGCTTGACTGGGACTGGAGAATTTTATTCTACAGATGTGTTTCGGATTGTTCTTTCTTTAAGAACATTGTTGTGGATTGCCTTCAATTTGAGCATGACTCACAGCGACTCTATGAAAAAAAAGGCCTGAAGCCCCTCTACAACTGTTGACATTTATCAAAGTTCATAGAGTTTCTGGAGGCAGGTTGTTTAGGAAGTGGATGCCACTCCTGCTTCCAATCTTTAAGAATAGAAAGTTGAATCTTGAGAGATGTAATGGAGATTGAATGAGAGAGTTCTTACTTCAAATTCTTTCAACTTCTAAGGAATTTGGGGCAAATTCTAGGTCTCTGTACCTCAGCTTCATCATCTACTAAACTTACATGATATGCTTTGTAGTCGATCTCTTTCATACTTTGGACTTGGAGCCAGGTGAGGCTATTCCTTGGAAAAGGTCATCATGCTTGGAAAGACGGAGGGTCGGGGAAGGAGAGGAAGATCTCAACAAGATCGATTCCCAGGGTGACTTCAGCAATGGGCTCCAGTGTATCAGAGATGCTGAGGATGGAAGGATAGGGCAGGGTTCAGGTTGGGTGTTCATAGGTTCTAGGAGTTGTATTTGATTCTATGGCACCTAACAATGATAAGTTGTGGCTAAATGGCAAACAGCTGCACTGCCAACCCAAAGGGACTTGGTTAGAATCCATCAAGTGCTCCGTGGGAGAAAGATGGGCATCTCCTCCTGTGTCACTTATAGCCTCTGAAAACCCTCTGGAGGGTCAGTGATGACAGCATACAACAACAACAAAAACAAAAATATGGGTTTTTTTTACATGAACTTTATAAGCAAACAAACAAAAAAGTAATACCGCTGAAGATAAAAAAATCACCCCAATATGTTTTCAGAGGAATTGTGACAAGTGAGCTACTGTGTAAATAACACATGACATAGTTTGTTACATGTAATATCTAGAATGTATTACACTGTACTTCTTGTCTGACAAATAAAAGAGATCACAATGTCAGCCACAAAAATTATCAAATATCCCTCTTTTGTGGATAGAATGAGTGGGAGCTGCTACTTTACAAATGTATTAGCCTCTATTCAAGATTTAGTTGTTGTTATGTGCCGTCGAGTCGTTTGCAACTCATAGTGCCCTATGTACAACAGCCCTAAACCGTGCTCTATCCTGTACCAATCTCATTGCCTCTGACACACCCATCCCGATTACCCCAGTCACTGAATCAATCCACCTCATAGAGGGTCTTCCCCTCCTGCGTTGTCCCTCTACTCTACCCAACATGATGTCCCTCTCTAAAGACCTGTCTCTCCTTACAACATGTCCAAAGTATGTCAGGCGAAACCCCAGAATCCTTGCCTCCAAGGAGCAGCCTGCTTTAACCCTCTCTAAGATGAATCTGTTTGTTTTCTTGGCAGTCCATGGTACATTCAATACTCTTCTCCGGCACCACAGCTCAAAGGCGTCAATTCTCCTTCTATCCTCCCTAGTCATTGTCCAACTCTCTGATGCATAACAAGTGATTGCAAAAACCATGGCCTGTATCAGGCGCACCTTAGTCTCCAGAGAGACACTGCTGCACTGCTCTTGAGTACTTTAGAGAGGTCCCTAACCACAGACTTTCCCATCGCAATACGTTTTTTTATTTCCTGGCTACTGGTGCCAACAGTGTTGACCGTGGAGCCGAGCAAACTGAAGCTGTGAACACTCTCAACTTCTTCGCCACCCATCCTGATGCTACCGATTGGTCCGGTGGTGAGAATTTTTGTCTTCTTGACATTGAACCTCAGTCCATACTGAAGGCTGCAGTCCTTACCCTCTGCAGTAAGTGCATGAGGTCCTCCTCAGTTTCAGTGAGCAAAGTTGTGTCATCTGCATAATTTAGTAAGATAAAAAAATTATTACCCTCAGAATCCTGACAGTAAAGCATCACTTCCTTTCAATCTTTCTCAAGTCACATAACACAAGACCACGTCTTTCTTCTTCACAATATCCTGATAAGACACACCCCATGATAAGACTTCTCTCTCCTTCCACGAGTAACAAATCCACCTTCTTCAACCACATATGTGGTCCTAGTAGTAGTCTGGCTGGAGGGCATTGATGGAATTAGTAAATCCAAGCAAAAGTCTTTTATTTGGGCAAGAATCATCTCTTCCTTTGGAGAGACCAGATTTACACGTGAACTAGGTTTTGACTAGTAGCTAAATGGAAAAAGCACACTGAATTTCATGCATAAATTCCAACAGGAACTGGGAGGAAGGGGAGACCCAAGTTGGCCAGCATTTCAGTTAGCTTCACTTTGACAAGGTAGCCAGAATTTCAGCCGAGCCTGGGCGGTGTGGATGAGGGAGTTCTGATGGGGTAGTTCAGAAGTCGTGCTGCTAAACCAAAGGCTGTTCCTCTCTGGTAGTTTAAATCTACCAGCAGCTCTGTGAGCAGAAGATGGGCAGTCCCTTCCTATGCAATCTACAGCCTCGGAAACCCAACAGAGGAAAAGCACTGAGCTTACTCAATAAATGAGTGAGTGAATCAATGTGAGTGAGAGAAGCTAGGAAAGATAAGGCCAATTACCTACTCTACTGACCGTTTCTTCTCTATTTTAAAGCATAGAGGAGAAGGTTGGAGGGTGGAGAGTTTGAGTCGATGGAAGGGAAGCACCTAGAACAGAAATAGTGAGTCTGTTGATACAATGTGAAGAATGTCACCAAAGTCACTTATCAAGATCTGGAAACTGCTGAATGGGAGCTGGTTATACAATATTTTTCACCAAAAACATTAATAAGGAAATAAAAGCTAAGACCAATTAGAAGTTGTTGTTGTTAGGTGCTGTCGAGTCATATACAACTCACAGTAATCCTGTGAATAACAGATTGGACCCTTGTCCTATTCTTTGCCATCTTCATCGTCTCTAACACACTTGAGCTCAGTACTGCAGTCACTCAGTCAATTCATCTCGTTGAGGGGCTTCCTTTCCTTTGCTGACCCTCTCTAAGGAATAACCTCTTTTAGCAACATGCCCAACATATGTGAGAGGAAGCTTTGTCATCCTTGCCTCCAAGGAGTCTTCTGGCTGCACGTTTTCCAAGACATATTTCTTTGTTCTTTTGGCAGTTCACGGGATACTCAGTACTCTGATACCACATCTCAAAGGA